TAATACTCAAGTTAAAAATAAGGAAAAATCTACCTCGAGAGAAAAATAAATGAAATCAATGAAACTTGAAGAAATGCTCTCCACAAACTTGCTTGCCTAATTTCAACTCTTACCCTTCATGGAGCAGAATAGGCCGCCCATCAGCATTCTCAATCCAACTCTGTCATGGGCAATCCTTTCCAGTTGCTACTCATCCTTATAATCTCTGCTTCCAATTCCCGGTGCAACTTGTTCTTCGGCCTTCCTCTTTTAAATTTCTCTTTGGGGTTCTAAGTTAGAGGTTGCCTCGTGATGCATCTTGATGACTTCTGCAATGTATTTTCTATCCACCTCCAACTTCTTTTTCGAATTTCCTCTTTATCTGCTGATGGTATCCGTTCAATGGACATCGAGTATATTGAGTAGATAATTGTTTCGTAAATCCTTGTACTTTTTGACATTGGTTGCAGTAGATTTACGGGAGAACTAAAGACATTTGGCTAATTACAGCTTTTATATCTTATATTAATAATTTTACTGTTTTTTGGATGTATTTGCTTTACTCAACTTCCGAATTTGTTTGTTTATATTGTGGTGACTCACATTTATCACGAGAACACGACTGGTTTAATAAAAACAATTATTATTATAACCAGCTGTACCAGTGTTTGTTTAAACGTGCTTTTGTTTGACTGTGCTAATGACAGCTATTTTGTGCTTCCATTCTTATTCTCGCACTTTTGATTGCGACTTCGCGCGAATTCGGTTACGTTCTGTAACCAAGCTTGTATCATGGCACGATCTCGGTATCCTTTCGATACCACGAGAACGCCAGCAAATATATATCTCGATTTGGTCCATTAATTGCCTTCTGATATTTGGCTCCTCGAAGATTTTATGGGTTTCTTTGGGTACGTTCAACCGACGCCTTCTGATTTATTTGGCACGTGTTTCTTTGTAGCGGTGTTCATAGTTAATCCCAACTGGACGCCACGCTACAATATCATTAGTTTCGGACACTTCGGTTTCTTTTGTTTTTGGTTTGGTACTTGGGAGTTTTTGCTTCGGGAACCTACAAAACTGAAGGTTTGTTTTGTAATTATTATAATTATTGTTGTTGACATTTGGGTCAACTATTTGCAAGTTGCGAATAAACTTTGGTACCTAAATTGGGGTTTGATTCTATTGTTAACTACGGTTCGTAAATTGCAAATAGATCGATATACCACAGTTCAATAACGGGAACGAGCAAAATGTTGGACATAACAAGTAGTTTTCAGTGATTCACCTCAGTACAGTAGAATTATTTTATTAAAGATTCTGACTTTGATGCCAGCTGACAGTTGTTTTAAGTCCTATTTATTCTTCAACTATAGGGATGCTGGTCTTACTTTGCCGATCCGTGCGTTTATATCTGCATTCGATCATCCTTGTTCATCGATGATAATGAACAGGTACGTGAAAGTTACCACATATTACAGAGCTTCTCCATCAAGTAATATTGGGTCAGAGTTCTCCGTGTTGTATTCGAGGATCTTGTTTTGTCCCTTGTGTGTATTGAGGCCTACTGATAGATAGGCTTCTGACACACTGGTTGACTTGACCTGCATTTTTTTTGTGTAGGAGATGGGAGGGCCAAATCTTCTGCGAAGTTCAAATCGTCTGGTTGCATGCAATCTGTCTGTTGTATTCCGTGATTCTTCTAAGATGTAAAGGTCTTTACCATCCAATCAACCATCAGACGTAATAAAAAGCGCGAGAGAGAACTCCTTGTCTGACTCCGATCTTCAGTCAGGATGAGTCTATCAGCAGTCCTCCATGCAGTGTAGTCTGTCGAGTGAATGCCGGATGATGTTGACGATTTTCTCGGGTACACCATAGTGTCTAAGAAGGTTCCGTAAGCTTCTCCTATCCACACTGTCAAATCGATATGATGTGTAGTAATGAGTTCCATTCAACTGATTGATCAACGATGATTTGCGGTGTTCCGATTTCGTGTGTGCAATGAAAATCGTTTACTACCGTACTTCACGAATGATTACGAGACATATACAGGTGCATTGTCGTAAGAAATTACTGTGACACCGCCAGAAAAAGTGATTAATTTGACGTGAATAGCATAACTGTCGACTAAAATGTCATCGTTAATTATGAAGAATGTAATGGAGAGAATTCCCTTCCTCACGAGATTTGAAGAGTCAAAGTATGGATAAGTTAGGGTCTTTCTAACTTGAAGCTTTATTCTCTGTAATAAAAAGGCACTTGCTTGTAAATGAATCATTTAACATGTACGTTTGGGATGCTTAAAAGTGCACGCAAGTCATGATATTTGTTTTAGCAATGCAACAGTTTCTTCACATTGCTCTCAACAGTTCTGAAAGTATTTTTCCTTCTATTAGCGATATCAGTGACATAGTCGAGTTTCGGAGCGGTGGAGTCAAGGCAATGCGTCAAATAGATGGATAAATCGGAAAGTTCAATATCATTGTTATTTATGGTGAGGCATGATTCCCATGGTAAACATCGAGTAAGAGATTCACTATGCTTCCATGTTTCTCGATTATACTGCCCATTCGAGAACTCCTTTGCAGCTAAAGAGTCTGAAAATATAGCAATCACTCATAAAAATTTACTAACTGCCTTACAACTGGGTCGGATTTCATTGTAAATATTGAGTCGAGTATATTATTTCTACCAGTATGCTCTCACACCCGTCAGACACATCGAAAAAGTTCTGTTGTTTCTCCAACTTGTTATATTGTCTCGGTACCGAAGCCGAATTGCATGTAACGCAGGGCTGACCAAAATGTATGTCCGATGAACCTAAACGTATGTGTTTGGTGGGAAACAATAAAAAGTGTCAACAACTTGTCTCAGTTAGTATCTAAATGGGGTGGGCGATTCATCCATCCTACCAGGACGTATGTTTGCGATCTACAATTTATGATGACCAAGTTGGAATCATGGTAATATCACGAATCATGATCATCAAAGCATCCCCAAAACGAAGAGTAAGGGAATCACAATGAACGTTATCCAGTGTTATGCACACACCAATCATAACAGCAACGACGACAAAGACTAGTTCTACGAAAGGCTGCAATAGATCATAGCGAAGCGCTCAAGAAAATGACCTAACCATAATGATGAGAGACCTAGACACCCAGGTCCACGTGGCTAACATTGGTTATGGAGATATCATGGGACGAAATGGGCTGGGAGGGAGGAACGGGAATGGTGAGAGATTTGCAAATTTATGTGCAATCAACAAAATGATTATAGGTGGCAATATTTCCCCTCAAAAGCACATTCACAAAGCTGCATGGGACTCACCGGATCACATTACAGAGAATCAGATCAATGATATTCACATCACTTAAAAATTAAGAACGTCGATGGAAGACCTGAGAACCAGGAGAGGAGCTGGCATAGCTTCAGATTATCACCTGGTTGTGGTCAAGATGAAACCGAAGTTAAAGAAATACTAGACAACTGGGAGAACAGCAATACAAAGGTTTAACATAACCTTCTTTCGAGGTACTAACAAACTCAATGAATTCAAGATAGCTCTCAACAACAGTTTCCAAGCTTACTGGATGTACTAAAAGAAAAAAAATACTATAGAAGACAACTGAAAAGGGACCAAAGCAGCACTAATTCCAAAGGGTCATGGGTCGCAAGAAGTATCATCATAAGGAAACGATCTCCCAGAATCCTTGGACAAAATTCAAGAAAGTAAGAACAAGTATACAGCAATAAACAACAGCCGAACAAGTGCAGAGAAAGTCCAAGAACAAAATGAATATACAGAGGCAAATAAGCAATTGAAGAGGGGCATTAGAGCTGACAAGCGAAAATACAAGGAAGACCTACCAACGAAAGAGAAAAAAGCTGTAAGAGAAGAAAATACAAAACAACTCTATCACACAACGAGGGAACTGGTAGGGAAATAAATTGAACTAGAGAGATCGGTCAAGGACAAATGTAAGACAATCGTTGAGATTCAAGAACAGAAGAACAGATGGGTAGAACACGGAAGAACTCTTGAATAGACCAGACTCACCGAACTCACCGAATAGTGAAGCAGCACATGCAGACTTTTCTATAGATGTCACTCCACAGTAAATCGAAGAAACCAATATGACTGTCAGACAAATCAACGGATGGAAAGCAGAAGGACCTGATAACACACTAGCTGAAGCATGAAGTCACACATAGAAGTAACTGCAAACATGCTCCTCATGCTATCCGGAAAGGTTCGAAAGGAGGAGGAACAAGTAGTGAGAGACTGGAGAGGGAATTACCTCATCAATATACCAAGGAAAGGAAATCTCGGCACTTGTGTGAACTACAGAGACATCACACTACTATCAGTACCAGGAAATGTTTGAGAAAGAGTGTCGGTGAACCGGATGAAAGATTCCGTATACGATTAACCCTGAAAGGCGTACACGGTGAATATTAATGAGCCGCCTGTTGTCCGAACGCACACTGTTTTAGGAGCCGTCGTTAGTTCAAACCTATAAACTACTGCACACTGCATTGCAATAGCCGCCAAAGTTTTCAGAACACTTTGGTCAGTACGTAGAGCCTTTAGTCATGTAGACGGTCTAACTTTTTTTGACTTTGTATACATTGTTCGTGTGTCCTAAACTTGAGTACTGCATACAAGTGTCTAGCTTCTGTCTAAAAGGAAAAAGTGAGCTGTTGAAAAATATTCAGAAAACCGCAACTAAACTGATTCCCGGAATATCAAAGCTCCCGTATGATGCTCGACTGGCTAAATCTATTTCCATTATCATATAGAAGAATCAAATGTGACTTGATCATGGCTTTCAAATTACTTGATGATAAATTCGCATATGATATGCCCTCACTTTTCTTTCGTATGCTCAAGACTACCGGTAGATATTACAATGAATTATTTTCAAGAAGTGCTGTGTTAATATAGCGAAAGTCTCTTCTGAACAGGCCTCAACAAGTTTAGATTTAGAATTATTCAGTGCTGAAGTGAATATTCACCGGCGCGCGTCTTGACTGTAGGTCGTTTGACGCGTTCAAGAGATTTCGCTCACTTCAGGTTTGGTCTGTCAGGTTTCCTGAACCTCAAGTTTGTGATATCATTAGTATTTGTCTTTTGGTTTCGCTATTGAACGTAGGTCTGTCACATGCTTTTATAGGGTCGTCGGTTATTTCCTTGTCATGTAATTCCTTATCTACGATCTCCACACGTGGTACCGTTTGTATACAGCACATAGTGCGCTTACTCTATCACGAAAGTGTGTCGTTTCGAGCTACAGACCATCTGCTTTGTGTTCTTATCTCGTTGGATGGTATGTTCATAGGGCAGTGGCAAGCGCGTAATGAAGATGGACATCACAGTAGGTTGTCAAGCATATGATGCAACGGTAATGAATCTTGTGTGATTTGTAATTTGTATAATGGATTGAGCTGAGGAGTCAGAGTCGTACGATACTCATATTAATCTTGCTGTCAGGATTTAACACACCCTATTCTGAAATTAAACACCTGACATACCATTTTTACAGACTCCTAAGTGTCAGTTGTCTGAATGGACTTTGGCTTACGACGGCTTCTGTTTTGTGTCTAGTAGATTACACTATTGGTCACAAGGTTGTCTCTTTCATTTGCTGTAGATCACATAAGATGGATTTTCGTCAACAGATAGTATTATTGGTGATCTTGCTCACTATTAACTTTTGCTGGTTTCATTATCACTGAATGAGTACTTTGTGTTCAATGAATCTACTTGGGTTAGTTCTTATTATGCCCTGGTACGGCCGAGTGGGGAGAGTTCGCTCTCCCTCTCGAAATGCTCTCACATGGCCACGTGTATATAGCCTCTGCCAGGGAAGTCCTACTCACTGCCTTCTCGTGGCGAGGGTGTTTACGAAAATGAGAGAACGAAAAGCGAATGTCCGGCTCTTTAACCGGATTCTAAACCAATGGTGCACATGGGCTACAGTATCCTGCGAGAACAAATGGCGTATGAACCAATTGTTGGTCACCAGCTTCCATGGGACTGCATCTCTATACGATGCTCCACTGTGGATCAGACCTTCATGTCGAAGGCTCGGGGTGTGGCCCCCTAAGAAAACCACCTACTTCGGTTTAGGCACCCGGGCAGTATCACAGCCCTCACATATATCGAATGAGATTTGTGTAGCGCATATGTATTTGGTGCCTCCTTGTACCATTATGTGTTGAAATAAAATAAAAATAAAAAAGTTCTTATTATCCTTCATATCATGCTAGCTTGATAGAGGGTGACCAGCAGCTTTTATCTACTGTGTTAACAGCTGCATACCAATTGGTTAAAGGCGTTTTCTCCAAAAATAGCTGTCAGCGTTTGTTATTCCAGAATCCTACTTCGTGGATCGATCACTGACTACTTATTATCTTGTATTCATATGGTTATTTAAAATATGCTTATTAAGTTTTAGAACTATGCTTTTCTTTTTCTCAGACTCCTTGTTACGCTATTTGACCTGGCGAACTGGAATCCCACACAAGATTATTCCTTCACTTCTTTACCAAACAAAACCCGTTAGCCTGTTGATACAGTTCTTTCAACATGTTTTTGAGGCCAGAGAGTTTAGGTCTACTTTTCTTGATACTCAATATCTCATGGTCGGTAGATCGTGCTAATTTTAAAACATGTGACCAGAGCTCGTAAGTTAAATGATTTTATAGTCTACTCATATTACAGGTTCTGTACTCGACAACGACAAATAAAACCCGGGGAACTTGCGCACTGGTTAGAACCAAGTTCTGTCAAGATAAATCCATATGGAATAACTGCAGTTATTTACACTGAAGATCGAAACCATTATCTGTCGCTGGATGTTACCTATAATCAACACTCCATCTTCCGTGTACTCATTGATGAATTGACAGATGAGTATAAAAGGTATCGCGTGCCTACAGGAGACGTTTTGCCAGGCGTTGAAAAGGCCCCTGTCAGGTGTAAATTTGCTGAGAATAGTTTAGTGTTGGATGGACAGTCTGGATACAAGGCAGTCGTGTACTATAACCCTTTTCATATCGATTTTTTCCTGAATGACATTGTTGTAGCATCAGCAAATAAGAGAAGTCTTTTAAATTTTGAACATCAGAGGAAAAAACCGATCATCGATAAAAATACGGTGTCTCAAAATGACAACCATACGTTACCAAGTGAAAATCATGAGGTTGATATTTCTACTCTAAATAGTTCCGAAGATTCTTCAGGAAATACAGATGTACCAAAAGACCCTACTACCGATGAAGACAAAGAAGATGAAAAACAAGGTCATATAGGTACAGAGCACACAGTTCCGGAAGATCAGTCATGGTCAGAATATTTCAAGGAACATCTTGACACAAGACCTCACGGCTTAAACTCTATCTCGATGGATTTCGACTTTCAGGGATTCAGTCACGTCTATGGGATCCCAGAACATGCTGATGGATTCGTTTTGAAAACTACAAGTGATGGCGACCCCTACAGACTTTATAATCTTGATGTATTCGAATATGAGGTCCATAATAAAATGGCCTTATATGGCTCTGTCCCTGTTATGTGGGGACACAATCAAAACAATACTGTGGGTATCTTGTGGCTGAATCCGTCGGAGACATGGATCGACATTGATCACTCGAACTCACAAAATGGCGGAATATTTTCAGGTTTCTTTTCGAAGAAACCAGAGAAATCTTCAGTACAAACGAGATGGATATCTGAGTCCGGCTTAGTAGATTTATATGTGTTTATGGGTAATACTCCATCTGAAGCAATGCGTTCTTATGCTAGTGTGGTAGGTACTACCAAGTTACCACCCCTGTTTGCGATTGGTTATCATCAGTGTAGATGGAACTATAATGACGAAGCTGATTTACTTTCTGTGGACAAACATTTTGATGAATATGAAATGCCTGTTGATGTTTTGTGGTTAGACATTGAACACACTGATGGAAAACGTTATTTTACTTGGGATAGAACTAAATTTCCAAATCCAAAAGAAATGGTTGATAAACTGAATGTTAAAGGTCGAAAGCTCGTTACGGTTGTTGATCCTCACATTAAGCGTGACTCGAATTGGCCTTTATTCAGGTAATTTTCCCACATTTTAACATTTGATGAAAGTTGTTTATGTATGATTCCTCTAAACACAATGTTCTGTGGGTAAACTTACCCACTACGATGAAGATTTTACTTAATTGCCTTCTCGCCAATTAGGTGATAAAAATGGTCAAATCTGAGGTGTGTAATTATGTCGAAACAATTACATCCAAGAATTGCAGATAGTAAAGAAGTTTTTGGTCCTATTACGAAGACTTTGTTAATGTCTGTCTTAAACGTTTGTAAACTTCATGGTGTCTGTGATAGCCCTCTTGATACTGCATATGTAAAACCTACTTTATAATGTATCAAACATTTTCTAAGATATTGATATCTGGAACAATACTGACTAGTTTATTTTCAGTTTCTCGTCTTGATTTTATGTTAATTAACTTTGCTAAACAGTCCTACAGTTTATTTTTATTCATATACTTGACTCGGGGTTTGGGAGGCATGTTTAGTAGTCAAACTGTCATGCATTATTGTTAGATGATATTGAAGTGGTTCCACAAAAGGTATTGAGCATAGACGAAGTTTCTCAAGAATCTAAGTTATCCTTCTCTCAAAGAGGGGTAATAATAAGTGAACAGTTTTAAGGTAAAGAAACCTGTAAGTATAGTTGTTAGTCACATTTTGGACACGAATGTTGGTGCAAATAATAAATTAAAAAGAGACTGTCACTAAGTACTCAGTCGTTCAGTGTACAGCATTACTGTCATCTGATATTATTATTATTATTATGTGATTATATTCAGAAACTAAATTAACCCATTTTCTCAAACCGCTTTCATAAATGAAGTTACCAGTAAGTTATCTGGCATTAGGGTGGATTTATTCATCGGTGTTAAACATTTCTTTGTATTGTGAACATAAACGCATCATTCTGACTAATAAATTTATACTTAATGGAAACCTCTTTTTTAATCTTTTCTCAGTAATTCCCAAAATAATGGGATTTTCGTCAAAACTCGAGATGGGACCGAATTCGATGGTTGGTGTTGGCCTGGATCTAGTGCTTGGCCTGATTTCACTGATAAATCTGTTCAGCAGTGGTGGTCAAATCTATTCCTTACTTATGAACCTGTTTGCAAAGATTCCATGTTTACCTGGAATGATATGGGTGAACCATCAGTTTTTAATGGCCCTGAAGTCACTATGCATAAAGTAAGCAGGCCACTAAAGTTTGTGGATTATTGTCTTTGACTTTGGCTACGACTTGCACAAACCGGGATATGTGTTGTAAATATTTTCCTGGTCTCTTTAATACTGTTCTTACTTCGTATAATGTAGGGTATCTATATGGGTCATTATTTAGACATGGGTTAGAGTCTCTGTCTGAATAAACTGGACTTATAATTGAAATCAAGTATCACTTTGAACTAGGTTTAAACCATAGCTTTCAATATTTTCCGGAATTAGGATGACATAATGGTTTCATAACTAGCTGAATTGTGCAAAAATATGAACTGATGATGCTCCAGTATTCGAATCAGGACATCGCCGTATTCATCTTTTGAAACGTCCCACATGATTTATGTGAAAATAATTTAGGTATATCTTATCGTTTAATTGACTGACTACCACCACACTACAGAACATGTCAAAGACTGAATCCTGAGGGGTAGGTTGGCTTTCGTTCAGGTTGTGGATGTATAGGTCATATACTAACTCGCCACCAAATGCTTGAACACTTAAGTCCACAGTATTTGGACAAGACTGGTAGGAGCCAGTACCTGCACTCACTTTTTGTGGGGAGCCGTTGCACGTAGTTGAAGAGTTCGTGTATTTCTTTTGTTTTTAGGTGCACGTGGTTGCTCTGTAGATGAGATCAATCTATGTATAGTAAAAACCAAAACAGAGTGTGCCTATTTGGGTCATCTTTGGTGCCCTCCTGATGTCAGTTTGGCTGTTAAAGTTTGGGTTTACAACGCTTTATTGAGAGCAGTCTTGGTCTATACCTGAGAAACCTAACCCGTTCATCCTAAATTTAATACTTTTCACAAATTAACAATGGAATTTCCACAAAAGATGAATTCGTGTTATTTTCAAGTTTTCCATCATTGATTGCTGTTGGTAAATTATTTGACTTGATGTCACCATCAAACGTTGTCAGTCAAGAGGCTCTATAAAATGTTTTTGTCATCATAAGTGGCGTAACACAAATGTGCACTTTGCTTAAAGATCTTTATCAGAGAACCTTATAGGATCAAGTAGTGTCCATTAGTTCTTTGATAATTGATGTCATCGTCCTTCTGAGTGCGCTTTCATACACTCAGCCTTAAGCTGCAGTTTGTATGAAAGTTGACTGTTGAGACCAAAGCTGTAACCAGCTATATAATAATTGGAAGTCAGGTGCTTTGACCACTAAGCCACTGCTCTGTCGAAGATGTCTGCCTTCCACATTTTAACATAGTTCTGTGAATATCCTCCTATGGGTAACTTTTGCCTGATTTCTCAGGTATTGATTTATCTAAAGAGTTTCAACGATGTGATGTACACAGAATGTATGCATTTGTCTACTGATAGCTTATAAGAGTGATGAACTTTTAAGTTTTATCAGTCATGATGGTTTGGGTGTTGACAAGATTTAATTAGGGGTTTTTGAAACTTTCTATAACTTACAAATTATAATAGTGAATAAAATGTCTACTTTACTGTTATTTATTTACTATTTATTTGAACACAAACATTGGTACAAGGGGGCACCAAATACATACGCACTACTCAATAAGGATGAGGCCAATAGTAGTTGTCATTGATTTGTGTGAGTGATTGGATACTGTCCGGGCCCCCAAACTGAAGCAAGTGACTTTCTTAGGGGGCCACACTCAGAACCTTTGACCTAAAGGTCTAACACACAAGTCAGTGGAGCAGTGTTAAGAGATACAGTTCCGTGGTAGCCGGTGACCAACAATAGGTTTATACACCACTTGTTCCCCCAGGAGCCCATGTTCACCACTGGTTTTAAATCAGAGTTTTCCAACTCTCCTAGGTAAAACCTCCGTGTCCACCAACCCGGTTAAAGCGCCGGACATTCGCTTTTCACCCTCTTAATTCCGTAAAAACACCCCCACGGCGAGAAGGCAGTGAGTAGGACTTCTCTGACAGTGGCTGTTTGCTCGTGGCCATGTGAGAGTATTTCGAAAGGGAGAGTGGACTCTCCCTACCCTCGACTGTACCAGGGCATTTGGGGGCTTTGCTATTATAAATTCTGATTCCTTCTGTATTAAGAGTACAAGGGACGGCTTAGAAAACATGGGTAGGTTGATGCCATTCAATCGTCAGTATCTTTAAAACGTTGCCTCGCCATAATAGAACTACTGAGTGAACAATATTGATGTTATATGTAGATTATTAGGTAGAAGTGGTTGATTATACTAGCCCTCACCAAAATGAGGTGTATGAAAGACTCTAGTGCACACTTGCTGATCACCATAGGAGCTGGTTGAAAAAGCCTTAAGATTGTCAAATTATGATCTGACCTCAATCGATAAGGCTAATAATCCTTAGTCTCAGTAGCGTTATCAAGGGAAAGTCTTATGTTAGTTGGAATATTAGTATTTTGCAATCCAGATTCTGAGATATTGGCTCAAGATCTGTCACAGTAGTATAAGTCTTTTGATTACTCGTCTCCCACTAAGTTTTAAACATATCAATGTTCTCAACGTTTTATCTCTCGATTTTATTCACTCCTTTAAAAATACTAATGTTCAATTCCCCACAACTTCTGATATTATTTTCACCCTCTTCAATTTTATATGATCTTGATGTGAAATGTAGTGACTAAGAGTTTTAGTGGAGGCCCGTAGTTTGATTTTGTCATCATTTAGATCGACGATATTCGTCGAAGGGCTCACCATTTTAGTGGCCTATGGATCTGACTCCAAGATCGTACGAATGTTTGCTATCGCCTATTCTCGTATACAATCGTCGACTTAAATCAAGTTATCCAATAACGGAATTAAATAAGTCGAATAACGAGAATTGACTTGTGAATACATATATTTCGTATATGAAGCGAATGAAACAGAGCAAAGCAAAATGACACGCAGGGAAGATGGCTGGGAAGCCAACACCATTTTAGTCAAGTGTTACTCAGTATTTATATTCAGACAAAATAAACTATAGACATGTGATGAGTCATGGGATATGAAGTGTACACACATATACGCTTATATAAAAACAGTCAAGACTGATAAGCGAATAATTGACAAGGTCAAAATATGACTCAAGTAGGATGAATAGGATGGAATGTCCGAAAGCTAGAATATGATACATGGGCTTAATATAATAATCGACACTACAGAGTGATAAATACGTGTCAGGTCTCGCGTTACTTGTGTTTTCTTATTAAACAACTTGTAATCCTAAGACAGACAACTTTAGAATAGCCACTAAATAACGTCTACATTAAAAATCTACTAAACAGTCGGTTGAAATGCGAACTAATTATCAGTTTCATTTTGTAAAGTCGAATATCTCCGTATTTACCTGTTTGCTAATTTTCCTTGTTACATGTTTCCATTTTTGCTTGAAGGATGCTAAGCATGCAGGTAATTGGGAGCATCGTGATGTACATAACTTATATGGGTTATATGTACATAAGTCAACTTGGGATGGACTCATGTTGAGGTCGAACGGCATAGAACGTCCTTTTGTGTTGACCCGTGCGTTTTTTGTTGGTTCACAACAGACAGCAGCTGTTTGGACTGGAGACAATACTGCTGATTGGTCACACTTAAAGGTAATTTCTTGGTCTTAAGATTTATTTTCATTGATGAAAGAGTTCGTTAACGGTGTGGATCATACCTAGTAAATAATTATGATAAATGTGTGCTTGATTTAGTTTCATTCATTGTCCCGTGTAATTATAATAACCACGGTTTTTAGAGCAACCATTAAAAGTTGTTTTCTTATCTAGGATTATGGTCATTCAATAAAGGATGTATTGATACGGTTTACGAAACTAGTCATAAAAGATAAGAGGAAACGGTTATTTTGTACACATTTTTCAGACATTTACATCTAAGGTTGACATTTAGTTAAAATAGCATCTATTAACGAAATGGCTTTCGGACCATACAATTCCGAGTGAAATCTCTGTGTTTGTACGTGCGCATTACCCTGTGAACAATTCAGATCTGAGGAGCATATAAGTTGCAGTTCCTTCTGCATTAAGACCTTAGATAGTGTGTCAAAATATTTGACGTTTTTTTATTAAGTTTCCATAACTTTAAGTCCTTAAGGTGAAGACTGATCGGACAACTAATTGTGGTCAATATATATATATATATATATATATATATATATATATATATATATATATATATATATATATAATGTTCTCATGGTCCATGTTACGTATGACTGACTGATTGAATTGGTTTTAGTAAGTTGAAATACAATTCAAATCACAACCAATCTTTTGTCTTGGACCATTTTGTTGTGTTTAAAGGATACTAATAATGGTTTTAGCATTAAAACTCATCATTTGCGATGATTATTATTACTTTCTGGATATAGCTACCGACATTTTATCACAATAATTCCCGAGACATGTTATCAGTTGTTACTTGTTTTAGAGACTATAGATTATGTATGACGCACTTGGTTACTATGCATGGTATTTTTCGCTACTCTAGATTTCAACTTCTATGCTTCTCAGCATGTCAGTCGTGGGGATAACCCTATGTGGAGCTGACGTGGGAGGTTTTTTCGGCAATCCAGATTCTGAGTTATTGACAAGATGGTATCAGGCGGGTGCTTATCAACCATTCTTCAGAGCTCATGCACACATAGATAGCAAACGCCGTGAACCTTGGCTAGTGGCTTCGGAATATATTGATCCCATTCGGTAAGTGCACTATTCCTGGTTTAATACAATGACTTCTTTGTACGAAGAATATGAGACGTGCTTTGTGTGGAAATGATAACTGTTATGTTTGAAGCTTCAAGAGTTCACTTAAACTGCGAACGAGAACAATACTCAGTGACCAAAGACCAGTGATCTAACTATTGACGCGTCCCAGCCCCGCTATCTAGAAGAAGAAGTCCAGGCTTGGTATGGAAAATATATTCTGCAACAGCCAGAAGGCGAGCGAGCAAGCAAGCAAGCACAATTTAAAACATATATATAAATATATATAATCGATATTGTCATAGAAAATTTTTTTAAACACTAATCAATGAGTTCAGAAATTGACCTGTTTGCACATTGAATCGATAGTTCATCTATTGACCTATTTGCACATCTAATTGATAGATTCATCAACTGACTGCTATTCAACCATTTAATCGATCAGTTCATCAATTGACCCCAATACAAATATTTAAACATTTAATCAATAAGTTGATCGATGCGATAAAATTTAAAATATGAGTTTGGGGATCTATCGTCCCCAACAATAACATTGATCAGCCTTCCAGACTAAAGTAGTTGGTGTAGATTTTAAATTTATCGAAACCATTCACTTGCACTTTCATCATTGTATTTAGTGGTAGTAAGTTAATTCTGGTTAAAAACGTGGTTAGTTTCCCATGTCTTTTAAGAACACAAAAACAGTAATCCAGCTAACAGGTCAAAGTGTACCAATGAACCGGGAAAAACACAAGAGAAAAAAACTGTATCCTAAAAGAATAGTTAGTTGTTCGGGATATATATCAAAAAGTGTTTAACCCACTCCATTCAACTGTATTTCATACCATCTGAAATCCTATATCTTCTGGCTCATATACCCGAACGACCTCATCGCTTTTCTGATGTGCTCACCTTAATTGATTCATCCTGTTAACCGACAATACATATCTAAGGTTTAATTGACGCAAAGTTGAGATACTGTAAGTTTTTGCATATAGTTCAAGATTTCTAGAGATGATACATGACATTATGAAAGATTGCGCAAATTGTAATTAGTAAGTTTCATGGTTTTTGCAACTGAACTTAGGTTTTTCTAGACCACTGAGTACTCAAGAGAAACTTGTCATGTTTCAGTACATTCGTCGCTATAACCCCCCCATGTTATATCCGAGCGGAGATTAAATCACGAGTAACTTCTGAGACATATTAATTGACTAAGATTATCTATACATTCTCATGGTATAATCATTCAATAATTAGATTATGTATATTTATATTCCTCTTATTATAAGCTTCATTTTGACCTATAATTTTTTATTATACGATTTACTGTCCCTAAACTATGCTCAGTTTATTAACTACTGTCTCCCACGTTCACAGTCACTTTTTGGCTTTATTGTGTACAAATGTTATTTCATATTTTATGGTGCGTTGCGGTCTGTTTGATTGATATATAAACCCAGTATGTCTGAAATAAATTATTCGATTCTCATATTGGAAGCTGGTATTGTTGTTCTGGACTCAAGTGGGCGGGCTAGGCGGACATAAGACCAATAAGGACGCTAGACTGCCCGTACCGGTTGAACGTCATTGATTTGACACAGTGCTAAGATTGTATAAGTCGTATTTTGATTAGTGGATAAATCACGTGATAAAGGCCGGACATAAAGTCACAACACCCCACCTTTAAACTGTCATCGATTTTCTACCGTTCACTTTGCACAGAAACTGTTATCGCTTAGTGAGATCATCTTAAGAATTAAGTATTCTGCAGTTTCCATCGAACAGATTAGCTTAGTCTCCTGACTGTTGACTAAGGTACGATCACGAAATGGGGTTCATTTAATTGGAAACTAGCATGTCTTAATTGATTCTATGTTTAGGTAAATTAAAGCCACTAGTGTACTTTGTTATTATCACACCAAGGTTTTAGTGTTGTCTAAATGTCTTTTAGTTTAAAGGTCTAACCATTTACCTCGATAGTATTGTTTTCATGATATTATCTATTATAAGCTCATTAGGGTAAACAATCCAGCTTTTACATTCTTGGACAGCGTAGCGCACAGACGTAATTTATTTAGTATAAATAATTAGAACAAAGTGGAGAGAATTCATTGAGCTTCTTAATGATTTCTTCCAGTGAAAATATGTGTAACGAGACTCTTCCGGCGACTTATTTCACAGTTATAACTTTTTGACTGTGTCGTTGGAAATGCTTTTGCATGAAATACTTGGTTTAAATCGTCCCCACATACATTGCGCTGTAGCTGACGATGACATGAAAATTTACCCGACTAAAAGAAATTCAAACTTGTAGTAGGGTTTGGCAGCGAATTTCGAACCTTTTATCATTATGGTCCAAGCACTCAGAATAACATTAAAGCAACTGCTTTAAATTTATTGGTCACACTCGTCGCCGTATTAATCAACAATTTTTCATGTCCTCACTCTTTGCACTCATTAAACCTGTAGCTCAGTAATATTAATGATTTTAAAAATGGCATAATCGGCCATTATTGTTTTAATATGGATATGAAAGCTAATAATTTGTTCATTGATTAACATTTTAATGATAGTAAGCTATAGTAATTATCCTATCACTAGTTTAAGTCTGAGTCCGGACATGGTTACAACTTTAGATAGTTTGTTTCTCATCATATTTGGGCCAGGACCGTGTGCACCTAAACCTATATTTTGAGTTTATGTTGATTATTGAAATACTCTTATATGTAGCCAGGTATTTTTCAACTTTTGATAATAAAATGATCGCTTTTATTTCACAGAAAGGCAATACAAGCTCGCTATCAATTACTTCCATACTGGTATACATTGTTTGCTCGTTCGGAAGCAAACGGTCAACCAGTTATGGCACCAATGTGGTTTCATTTTCCTAAAGATGTGAATACGTATGGTTTGGATGATCAATATATGATTGGAGAAGCTGTGCTTGTGAGTCCTGTCACTGATCAAGGTGCAGGCTATGTGCAGTTATATTTTCCAAAGGGAACATGGTATCATTATCCATCGCTTGAGGTAAATGATCATTTGTATGGGGTTTTAAATAGTTTTGCTTCACAGCTAATGTGTAATATGAAAATAAGGGTAAATCCTACATAAAAATCTAGACCTTTTATTTATAACTCTATGAAAAGAATAGATAGAGTTATGGTAAAATGTTAAAGGAACAGTTTGTCTTTAATTATACCAGTAATCAAAATATTCATTGAGTAATGTACAGACTCATTGAAAAAATAGAACGACTTTATTTATTGAGTTCAACAGACAAGTACGTGAATGTCTTCTTTTCTATAATACTGTTATAGTTATCAAGAGCTACCTTAAGCTACCAAAAAAACTATACTATTTAAGAATCGCCTATTCAGTTTGCTTAGTACTATTCAAACGCGTGTTAGTTTAGTTCGGTTATTTATTTACGCAGAAAAAGTGGCTTGCATTAAGTCACGAAACGTCAGAAATACAATTTTCTTAATCATTAGGATATAACAAAAATATATTTATTAATAACCTACCCGATGTGAGTACTGAAGCAGTTTTTCTGAAACCACGTGCACCATTCAAACTGGCTGCTTTCAACGTTCGCACACTTATGCAGGTTGGACAACAGATAGGGTTGGCTATGTCTTTAGAAAGTCTTAATATCGATGTTTGCTGTCTATCCGAGACCCGTATTCAAGACTCTGGTGAAGTACTACAAATTTGCTCTCCATCTGTCGCTTCGAAAAGCTTGTTTTACGTGCGTTTATCCGGGGACCCCGTGGCATCTCCATCTCGTCTTGCTGGCGTTGGTGTCGCACTAAGCGCTAGAGCTGAGGCAGCACTAATCGATTGGATCCCCATCAACAGTCGGTTATGTGCTGTTAGATTAGAAAGTTCCAACAAAGTGAGAAAAAGTCGGCGTGAGAAACGATGTCTTTTCGTCATCTCCGCCTATGCTCCGACAGATTGCAGCCCGGATGCAATCAAGGATGAATTCTACCACCAGTTAACTGTTCTTCTCCAGAAAGTGCGTTCGACAGATATTGTAGTACTAGCCGGAGACTTGAATGCTCAGGTCGGGCGTCTAGGCACAGAAGAGAGTCGTTTAAGTGGCCGATGGGGACTTGTTGGTTGCAGGACAGATAATGGGGACCGTCTACTGCAACTGTGGACAGACCACAACCTGTTTCTGGCTAGCACTAACCTTCGGCATAGTCATCGCCGATGTGCCACCTGGCGTCCTCCCTCTGCATCACAAGCCTGGACTCAGATTGATCACATCGCGATCAGCTACCGCTAGCGTGGTTGTGTACAAGACTGCCGCTCCTTCTGGAGTACCTATCTGGACTCTGATCATGCCCTGGTCTGCGCCAATCTTACCTTACTTTTCAGTGGACAACGAAGTGACCGCCATCAACGGATTGATGTTAGCAAGTTGGTTGTAACTTCTGTTGCAAGTAAGAATCGAATCAAGCTAGCTTCTAGGCTAGCTACCATACCACCGAAAAGTATAGATGAGCATTGGTTGCAATTGCATGACGCCATGAAAATGGCGGGTACAGTCAGTTGTGGGTTCGCGAAACAGCCCGCTTATAAGCACTGGGTTTCTTCAGATTGCTTACAACTCATTGAAGCCAGTCGGTCTACTCCGGGTGACCGTGAGTTTGACCACAAATGAAGGATTTTACGTAATGAAATTGGGCAAAGCTTGCGTTAGGACCGAGAAGCCTGGTGGTCGGAGCGTGCTAATGAGCTGGAAGTAGCAGCTGCATCTGGCAACTACCGGAAGCTCTCCCGACTCATCCGAGCCACTGGCAGCAAGAAGTCTGGTGTGAGCGAAACAATCTACGAGGATGATGGGATGCCAATCACTGACATCCATTGACGTCTTGGACGATGGGTAGAATTTTTCGAAGGGCAGTTCAGCTGGCCTGCTGCTCCAGCAACATCGGTCAGACTGTCCTGCACTCCATAGCCGGTGACGACTGATCCACCAGACGAGGAGGAAGTCCGCAAGGAACTCCAACTCTTGAAACGTTACAAATCACCTGGCCCAGATGACTTACCTCCGGCTCTTTTTAAAGATGGTGGTGACTTTTTGACTAAGGAATTGACTACGTTGTTTACAAAGGTTTGGGAACTAGAGAGTGTACCAACGTCATGGAATGAGTCGATAGTTGTCCCTATCTTTAAAAAGGGATCACGTCGTTCCTGTAACAACTATCGGGGGATAAGTCTACTTCCGATTGCATCCAAGCTATTGGCCTCCGTCATACTTCGTAGGTTGTTCAAAACCCTAGAAAAATTGACTCACGAGGAGCAGGCTGGTTTCCGTTCTGGTCGAGGATGTATCGATCATATCTTCACCCTCCTCCAAATGTTAGAACACCGTCATACTTTTCAAAGGCCAACAATCGTAATGTTTCTTGACATCAGGGCTGCCTTCGATTCGTTGGACAGAACTGTTCTCTGGGATTGTCTATTGAAGTAGGGTGTGCCTGAGAAGTTTATTAACATCCTAAAAGCCCTATACACAAACACCTCAGGCAGAGTGAGGGCATACAACCACCTCTCTCCATTGTTCCATTCGAGTAGTGGGGTTAGGCAGGGTTGCCCAATCTCACCATTCCTCTTCAACTTTGCCATCGATGACATTCTGGAAACAGCTCTGATGAATGTAAGTAATGGTGGTGTGGATCTGTTGCCTGGAGAAAGTCCTCTCGACCTTGAGTATGCGGACAATATTGTCTTACTCTGCGATAATGCCCAAGGCATGCAATCCGCACTTAATCAGTTGGCAATCAGTGTTCGTAGATATGGTATGTGCTTTGCACCTTCGAAGTGCAAAGTACTTCTACAAGACTGGCAGGATTCTAATCCTGTACTCACCCTGGATGGTGAGCAGATAGAAGTAGTCGAGAAGTTCGTGTATCTAGGTAGCTGCATAAGTGCTGGTGGTGGCTTGAGTGATGAGATCAATGCACGTATAGTGAAAGCCAGAGAGGCTTATGCCAATCTGGGCCATCTTTGGCGCCTTTGTGATGTTAGTCTGGCTGTAAAAGGTCGGATCTACAACGCGTCGGTGAGAGCAGTTTTGTTCTATGCTCGTGAAACCTGGCCTCTCCGAGTTGAGGATGTTAAACGACTCTCTGTGTTTGACCATCGCTATCTCCGAAGGATTGCTGACATCCAGTGGCAACACCATGTTAGTAATGTAGAGGTTCGGCATCGTGTGTTCGGACACAGAGACGATAATCCAACTGGTGTCACTATCTTGAAACATCGACTTCGGTGGCTTGGACATGTTCTACGAATGTCGTCCCAGAGAATTTCACGTCGTGCATTATTTGCCGACTCTGGGACTGGTTAGAAGAAGCGGAGAGGTGGTCAGTGCATGACATGGTGTCGTGGTATGAAAGAAAGCTTCAAAGGACTGGCTTGTGTTGATCCTTCACAACTCCCTGGCTGGGGTCCGAGAGATGGTGCGACACAGTGTCTAGAGACGTTATCAGATATGGCCCAGAATAGAAGCCATAAGAGCGATTCTGCTGTAACCTGCTTTTACTTTCTTCATAAAAAGTGGTTGTGTCTTCCTTAAATGAAAGATTTTTTCTGATTGTACCTTTCCGTTCCCCCATTTTTACCATTGTTATTATTACACCACCTTACATCAGTCTCTCCGTTATTATTCTCTCTTTTTTTCCTTCCCCTTGAATTTTCATTGTTTTGTGTGGCGCATTCTTGTACCAATATTTATGTGTTCAAATAAATAAATTCTATACGATGCTCAATTTATATGAAACTATCAAGTTAAACCTCAGTGGTATCTATATATTTATCAGTTAAGGTTTTTAATGCCTCCAGAAACCATTATATGGATGTGTTTTGATGTTTTGAAATAAAATATCATGTGTCTATAACTGTTATTTAACATAATAATGTCATTAAAGCCTACATTTTACTAATTGTTAAATCAATGAATTATGTTTGTTGTCCTATCATAAACTGTTCTGGTCGATTCGATAAAGTCTGTATTTCTTATTCGTGCGAAGTTAAATTTATCAATAGAAAAAGTCATATGAAATTCCTATATTTAATTGTAGGTATTTGAAGGTGGACAGTTGACACAATATCCAGTAACGATAAATTCCATACCTGTATTTTATCGAGGTGGGTGGATTATACCACGAAAAGAGCGTATACGTCGTTCTTCATGGCTTATGCGTAGTGATCCCTATACATTTGTTGTTTGTTTGGACCCTCAGAAGCCTGATGCTGTTGGTTATATATACATAGATGATTTCCATTCAACTTCTAAATCAAATGCCCAGTTTTTCAAAATTATTTACCAACGAGTTGTTGACCCAACGGGTGCAGGTGTGCATGGTGGACGATTGCGCTTACAACGTTTACCATTACCAGGTGAAACTTCCATAGTACTACCTAAAGATGATGTTTTTATACCGAAAATTGAACGCTTTGTTATTGTTGGGTTCAGTAGTCCCTTGGAAAGAATTACTGTGATCGATGCCCATAAACCACGAAGAAATATAGGGTTTTCCATTACTCCGTCCTCTGTTTTTTCTGCTGGTTTTAAACACGTACCACGCATTGTCGTTGTTCGTAAACCTGATCTTTCATTAAATGATGAATGGGAAGTGCATTTTGTCACAGGGAAAGAATCCAGGGATGATTTGTAAATGATAGTTGATATCAATCCTATTTCTTCAACATAGTACTCTCATGTGTATATGATTTAGCTCCAAGTTATCTTGTTTTCTAAAACACTTGCTCACTTCTAATTTTTACATCATTTCTCTCCATCCCTTCAAATGTGACGTGTACTCTTACCTGTCTGTTTGTTTTCTTTTCACTTTTCATCTCGTTTTTTCCTGTTTTTAGCGCATCTTTCTCAGTTCCCTTTTTCTATTTTGTCATTGCGTCTGTGTTTGAATGTAAACAAAGAATTTTCTCATTGCTTTTATGTATGTTTTTATTTTAAAAAGTGAATTTGTTTAGTTAAGATAGAAACCTTTTTGAATCTATAATGGGATCGTCAAAAGATTTAGGTGCATATTCATATAAATTGCTTAACCATTTACCTCCAGACATTACTCATTTGTCTCAACTCTGTGATTGGAATTGTTAAGTAACACTGAGTAGTATAATCACTAGAATATAATGGCCTGGTAAACCTTATATTAGCACTGAGTTTGAAAGAACGCCTAACCGAACTTATCTTAAATATAAACTTATTTCCAATATGAAAATTAGTGTATTTAATGTCATATGCTTAGATCAAATCATCTGGTGTAACATCACAACCACATAAACCAAAAAGTGAAGCACTACAAAGGTACATCTGTGAGTGCCTCCAAATGCCCTAATACGGCCGACAGTAGGGAGTTCACTCTGCCGGCTCGAAATGCTTTCACATGGCCATGCGTATATAGCCTCTGTCAGGGAAGTCCTACTCATCGCCTCGTGGCGAGGGTGTTGTTTACGAAGTTGAGAGGACGAAAAGCGAATGTCCGGCGCTTTAACCGGGTTGGTGGACATGGAGAGTCCACCTAGGGGAGTTGGAAAACCCTGATTCCAAACCAATGGTGCACATGGGCTACAGTATCCTGAAGGAACAAATGGCGTATGAACCGATTGTTGGTCGCCGGCTACCATGGGACTGCATCTCCTCACGATGCTTCACTGCCTTGTGGATCAGACCTTCATGCCGAAGGCTCGGCGTGTGGCCCCCTAAGGAAACCACCTGCTTCGGTTTGGGCACCCGGACAGTATCACAGCTCTCACACAAATCAAATGGGATTTGTGTGGTGCATATGTATTTGGTACCTCCTTGTACCAATATCTATGTGTTCAAATAAAATAATACATCTATGAGTTATACATACTATGAGGCTTAAACCAAAAATGGTCTTTAGGCTAGTGGGAAAGTCATCACCTATTCGTCTAAATATTGATACAATTAGTGCTAATAACATTAGTGATTATACACTAAAGTGTAATTGATTGATTACAGGTGGAAAACAACTAGGATTTCGAGTGAACCTGTCACTTATTAGCAAAACTATTTCATAGAACCCCGGTATTACTCACCTCAGTGATTGATTGATCATATGAACTTGTCAGAAATATTCCACAGGAAGTAAGTTTTATAAATCCTTACCATTCTTCATTTGTGTAGTACCACTTTTTACAAACACTGATGTTGATCTAAAGACAACCACAAATCATCTGTACTTCGAAATTAACTAGATATCAAGTTCAAAACACACATGCTTTTGATCATATTCCAGTATGGGCAGGGTTATTCACAGTTCAATTATTTTCACTCCATATAGCATTTAGATGACAGGTTATCCACAGAGGAACCCCTATTGAAAGACGATTCCTTTCTTTAAGATACCAGGATTAAAGCACTTAAAAGTAACGTAGTTTTATAGGGTCAGTGACAGCCTTTTTCTACCACGACATTTTTAAAAATAGACAGGCTCTGCCTACGAATGTCATCACAATGCATTGGGTTTAATGCTGAGTGAAATAGGGGATTACGAATACGAAACCCGGTTTTCGTTTATCATTATGTATTCGATCGTTCTCCTTTCTGTTATTTTTCCACCTACTAGTCTGTTCAAGTGTAGAATCATGTAGTGTCAGTTATTATGGCAAGCCCATGTACCTTAATTCTAACTTCCGGACATCCTATTTTATTCATTTTACTTGAGCCATATTTTGACCTTGTCAATTATTCGCTTGTCAGTCTTGACTGTTTTTTATATGAGTGTACATTTCATGTCACATGATTCATTGTATGTCTGTAGCTTATTTTGTCTGCCTATAAATACTGAGTAACACTTAATTAAAAGGGAGTTGGCTTCCCAGCCATCCTCCCTGTGCGTCATTTTGCTTGGCTCTGTTTCATTCACTTCATATACGAAATATATGTATTCACAAATCAATTCTCGTTATTCGACTTATTTAATGCCGTTATTGGATAACGCGATTTAAATCGACGATGATATACGAGAATAGGCGATAGCAAACATTCGTACAATCTAAAATGGAGTCAGATCAAACGGCCACCAAAATCATATTGATAATATGTTGACTTTGACCTAGGAGAAATCAGTTAAAGGTGATAATTTCAAATAAAAACTATTCCGGTCTTAAGGAAAATTAGGAAAAAAAATTAGTGATGAGATTATTGAGTTTTTAGTATTGACTTAAGATTTTCAGTTCCAATTACCAGATAAAGTCCTAGAGATGTTTTTACTAATTTACTCTAGTCGTAGTTTGTTATAGATAAGATAAAGTTTTTCGTCTTTGTCATTGAAAACAAAACGAGAATTAATTAATTACTATTTTGTTCAGTAGTTTGTTATATACCCTTCACTTCTCTTAATGTCTGTTGTGTTGAAAAAGACCCAACAGTTTTCTTAGAAATAAGTATTTTGAATACAATCATATTGTTTGGGGACTCAGTCAGCTAGACCTGAAATTACCGTTACATTGATTGATCTTCGTTACGTGATAAATCACCTAATTCTTATTTCATAAGAACTGTTCTATTGAAATTTCTTTTATCAGCCTACCACCTGCTTCAGCTTACTCAATCCAGATTGTCTGTCCGTTCATAAAGATCATTTGTTTAAATTTTGTAGCTTTCCAAGCGAAAAGCCAGAAATCATTCCTGTTCTTACCTAGTTCCCAAAGAACATATCGTACAATTGTAGTTAATCTGTTACTGAAAACATTTCTGCAGCTTCAGTTAACTAATGCTCATTGTAACAAACGTATTCAAGAGGATGTGGTTTGGACATCAACGAAATGGATATTTTATCTTGCTTATTACACATGGATATCATAGCTATGAAGAAATGAAGGACAGAAACATTTAAAGATGAATACAACTAATCAGAATAAAAAGGTGACCGCATTTGTTCTATATTCTGCGGAGATCGTGCTACATTGAATGTATATTGACCTTTATTTGTAGTGTTTCAGGGAAACGAATCTGATGAGCACATAAGAGTCCGAGATAGATTGTAAGAACGGACATCTAAATATAACTAGGCTACGGTTTTGCCATATCCTAAACAAAGAAAATAGTTAAACTCCATTATTTTTCAGATCATTTGTAAGGGGTTAGAACAAGAAAACATTGAATTGAGTCACAAATAAAATAGCGCAAAATATTAGTGTAATTTACAATGCTGCAGAGACATATTAGATACAAACGATGTGAGGCAGTGGCATTAAAATTCCAAATAGGTGAATTCACCAACACAATATTTTTCCGTCCTCTGTTTATCAGTCATTTGAATATTATTGAAAATCTATAAGTAGTTGGAAAGTTGCAAAGTACTACTGTTTAGTGTGTCAATATAGACTACAAATTTTTGTAAGAAAGTTTACCGAATTTATTATGAATCCTTAATATTTTTAAATTGGGAAAATATTTGGGTGGACAATTGTGTCAATGGATTAACCTTTAGATCCTAAAGTGTAAGGCATACATGTCAGTCTTACTTATTTGATCCAGCTCCACATATCGAGAATAATGAATGCTTACTCCTGATTTTCAGTTTATATATTTACTTTAACCTTTTCTTGTAAGGCATTCACATTTGTGAATTTATGTTCCTTAACTTTTTTTTACATTACGAATATTATTTTCATATTAACCATAAGAATTATCGACATTGTATTATATCCATTTAGTTATGGTACATTAGTTGATTATTAGTCACACGTAATCTTACGACCTTTTCCTGGTTTTTATTACATAGCCTTTGAACTGTACTCATAATAAATCCTCTAAGTTGTTGTAAAACCCATCGTCCTTAATTTAGAACAACGGTTTATCCAGTTAAAATCTATTTTTGGTTTAAGTTAGCTAATCGGTTGCGCCACGGAGGCGACAACCTGGAAGCACTGGACGGCCGTTTCGTCCTAGTATGGGACTCAGCAGTGCGCATCCACGATCCCGCACCACGCGGTGCTCGAACCCAGGACCTACTGGCTTCGCGCACGAGCACTTAACCATTAGACCACTGAGCCCCCTGAATGCCCTGGTACGGCCGAGAGTGGGGAGAGTCCGCTCTCCCTCTCGAAATACTCTCACACGGCCACGCGTATATAGCCTCTGCCAGGGAAGTCCTACTCATTGCCTTCTCGTGGCGGGGGTGTTGTTTACGAAAATGAGAGGACGAGAAGCGAATGTCCGGCGCTTTAACCGGATTCCAAACCAATGGTGCACATGGGCTCCAGTATCCTGCGGGAACGAATGGCGTATGAACCAATCGTTGGTCACCGGCTACCATGGGACTGCATCTCCTTACGATGCTCCACTGCCTTGTGGGTTAGACCTTTAGGTCAAAGGCTCGGGGAGTGGCCCCCTAAGATAACCACCTGCTTCGGTTTGGGCACCCGGGCAGTATCACAGCCCACACACAAATGATGAACTGTTTATGTCTATGGAAACTACTTTTGTCGCTTTGAAAAACAATCAATTGATTCAAATTATGATCACTTCAATTATTGTCATTATTAATACTAATATTATTATTACTACTATTATTGTCATTATTGTTATTATTATCATTATTATTATTATTTTCCACATTATTCACCTTCTTTTATACTTATACAGCGGCTCGTCTTTGGTGGAATTCCGACTGTATCTAAACGTTCTCGAGTCACTGTCCGGTTGAAAATTGTATGTTACCACCGAATACGAGGACTGAAGCAGATTTTCTGAAACCACGTGCATCATTCAAACTGGCTGCCTTCAACGTTCGCACATTTATGCAGGTCGGACAACAGATAGGGCTGGCTATGTCTTTGGAAAGTCTTAATATCGACGTGTGTTGTCTATCCGAGACCCGTATTCAAGACTCTGGCGAAGTACTACAAATTCGATCTCCATCTGTCGCTTCGAAAAGCTTGTTTTACGTGCGCTTATCCGGGGACCCTGTGGCATCTTCGTCTGGTTTTGCTGGCGTTGGTGTCGCACTAAGCGCTAGAGCTGAGGCAGCACTAGTCGATTGGATCCCCATTAACAGTCGGTTATGTGCTGTTAGATTAGAAAGTTCCACCAAAGTGAGAAGAAATCGGCGTGAGAAACGATGTCTTTTCGTCATCTCCGCCTATGCCCCGACAGATTGCAGCCCGGATGCAATCAAGGATGAGTTTTACCACCAGTTATCAGTTCTTCTCCAGAAAGTGCGTTCGACAGATATTGTAGTACTAGCCGGAGACTTGAATGCTCAGGTCGGGCGTCTAGGCACAGAAGAGAGTCGTTTAGGTGGCCGATGGGGACTCGTTGGTCGCAGGTCAGATAACGGGGACCGTCTACTGCAACTTTGCGCAGACCACAACCTGTTTCTGGCTAGCACTAACTTTCGGCACAGTCATCGCCGATGTGCCACCTGGCGTCCTCCCTCTGCATCTCAAGCCTGGACTCAGATTGATCACATCGCGATCAGCTACCGCTGGCGTGGTTGTGTACAAGACTGCCGCTCCTTTTGGAGTACCTATCTGGACTCTGACCACGCCTTGGTCTGCGCCAATCTTGCCTTACTTTTCAGTGGACAACGAAGTGAACGCCATCAACGGATTGATGTTAGCAAGCTGGTTGCAACTTCTGTTGCAAGTAAGTATCGAACCGAGCTAGCCTCTAGGCTAGCTACCACTCCACCGAAAAGTATAGATGAGCATTGGTTGCAATTGCATGACGCCATGAAAATGGCGGGTACAGTCAGTTGTGGGTTTGCGAAACGTCCCGCTTTTAAGCACTGGGTTTCTTCTGGTTCCTTACAACTCATTGAAGCCCGTCGGTCTACTCCGGGTAACCGTGAGTTTGACCATAAACGAAGGTTTTTACGTAAGGAAATCGGGCAAAGCTTGCGTAAGGACCGAGAAGCCTGGTGGTCGATGCGTGCTAATGAGCTGGAAGCAGCAGCTGCATCTGGTAACTACCGGAAGCTCTTCCAACTCATCCGAGCCACTGGCAGCAAGAAGTCTGGTGTGAGTGAAACAATCTGCGAGGATGATGGGATGCCAATCACTAACATCCATCGACGTCTTGGACGATGGGCAGAATTTTTCGAAGGGCAGTTCAACTGGCCTGCTGCTCCGGTAACATCGGTCAGACTGTCCTGCCCTCCATGGCCGGTGACGACTGATCCACCAAATGAGGAGGAAGTCCGCAAGGAACTCCAACTCTTGAAGCGTTACAAATCACCTGGCCCAGATGACTTACCTCCGGCTCTTTTTAAAGATGGTGGTGACTTTTTGACTAAGGAATTGACGACGTTGTTTACAAAGGTTTGGGATCTAGAGAGTGTACCAACGTCATGGAATGAGTCGATAGTTGTCCCTATCTTTAAAAAGGGTTCACGTCGTTCTTGTAACAACTATCGGGGGATAAGTTTACTTCCGATTGCGTCCAAGCTATTGGCTTCCGTCATTCTTCGTAGGTTGTTCAAAACCCGAGAAAGATTGACTCGCGAGGAGCAGGCTGGGTTTCGTTCTGGTCGAGGATGTATTGATCATATCTTCACCCTCCGCCAAATGTTAGAACACCGCCATACTTTTCAAAGGCCAACAATCGTTGTGTTTCTTGACATCAGGGCTGCCTTCGATTCGTTGGATAGGACTGTTCTCTGGGATTGTCTATTGAAGAAGGGTGTGCCTGAGAAGTTTATTAACATCCTAAAAGCCCTGTATAAAAACACCTCAGGCAGAGTGAGGGCATACAACCACCTCTCTCCATTGTTCCATTCGAGCAGTGGGGTTAGGCAGGGTTGCCCAATCTCACCATTCCTCTTCAACTTTGCCATCGATGACATTCTGGAAACAGCTCTGATGAATGTAAGTAATGGTGGTGTGGATCTGTTGCCTGGAGAAAGACTTCTCGACCTTGAGTATGCGGACGATATTGTCTTACTGTGCGA